TACGTCAGAGGTGAAATAGAAAAACCAGCCTTCGGGGGCGGTACAGATCCAGAGATATTTTTATCAGACACCCGACCTAAGGGAAGATTTTGTTTTCTAATGACGACTTGTTGAAAATAACAGCAAACTGTTATATTTCAAGGCCACTGTGGCACTTATTTCATATATTTCCTATGCTGCCATATTGAATAAATAAAGATGCCCACACGTGCTAACTGTTGAAAAATTTATCTTATNCAGGGATTTATATTAGTTTAGTCTCCTGATAATTTAAGATTATTTTCTTTATTTTCTTTATTATTATATTATTTAGGCTTATAATATATCACATATCAATTGTTCAAAAACTAATTAATTAGTACTATTTGGGCACAAGACGATCTCATTATGAGATCAGGTGCACTCAATTTGTAAAAAAAAAAACTGTAATGTAATGAAATTGTATTTGTATTATTATTATTATTATATCTCCCAGTATATATCAAATGCCGCCTATACATCAGTTAGATGGAACTAGTGTTCACTGTAATGTAGGAATACGATAATTTCTAAATGAAACTTTGATGGAAAATGAATAGAACCTTACTCAGAGTATTCCATGCCAGCGTGCTCACCAGATTTAACTAGTGGAAGGATTTGATGTTGGATCTGAGTTTATTTCATTATTGTAATAAATATTTTCAATATGGGGAGGAAACGACTCATTCCTGTCGAAGCATTTGTCGAATTTTTCATGGGCAGGGGTTTTAAGCTTCAGAAAGAGATAACTAATTTGAATATTGAAAATGAAATTGTATATGAAGCAGCAAACCATTTTCTCAGATCCAATAGTTATGAAGAGAGACGAATTATCATGAACTTGGTGATATCTAATACAGCGGCTATAAAAGTTAATTTTATGAAGGATTCAGCATGTAGCTCTGATACGTCCATTGTGAAAAAAAAAATGGCCGACTCGAAGATAAAGTTATTATTTCGGCACTGAAAGAATTTAATATCGAGGACAAAGCACTAAGAGAAGAATCGTACTGCCCAAAAAACTCACTGTACGCTCGTTTATGCGTCGCTCTCGGGAAAAAGAATTCCAAATCAAATCGAAAATATATAAAACAACGATGTCAGACAATTCGTAGATCTCATCGTCGTTCTAGTACACCAATTGAAAACTGGCACCAACTTGAATCTCCCAACATTTCGGTGATTTCGAATCCGAAAAATTCTCAACTGGAATTAAGTAACGAGGTAAAGACTGTTCTACAAAGCAGTGAGAGTGAAAAAAAAAATCAGTGCTTCTGTGTTCTCAATAGACAGACAAAGAATTGGAATGGAACAAATTTTACCCAAAGGCAGCAGAAATTTATAGACTCCAGAGAATGTCAAAAATGAAGTGGAAAACAAAAGACGTTTCTCTTTTAAGAAATGCACTATTTTAGAAGTTAATTTGTGTTTTACTTCTCTTGAATGGGCTTATACCTATGTGGATGAATAACAAATTGAAATCTGTTGTTTAAAATTATCTACTTTGTAAAAAACTCAAGAATGTGAATTACACCTGTCCTGTCCATAAATCATTAAATCGGTTAATGTGAAGGCTTCACCTTATATAAGAGTGTATGGTTATTGCAAACATTGGGGTTCTAAATCATTCAAACTATCAATGAAACCAAATGGTAATGGTGGAGCGGAGGTGATTGTATGTAGTGATTTTATTAATTATTACCATACTCCGACTCCTTCAATCCATCCTACTCGCGGTATCGAGAGATGTTTATGAAGTTAAACATCGATGTATTCAAGTAATTATTAAATGTGCCGCCATTTTGAAGTAAGTGAAGATATTGACTTTATATTCTGGGGTTATAAAGTATTCGTTAGAAGGGTTAAGATGATGTGTCACAAAACCCCCCTTTCTATTCAATTTTTATTTTCCAAAAGGCGCCCAGTCGCCATCTTGAAGTTTTCATTCGTCAATTTTACTCCAAAATATAGTATTCAAGCATCAATTTCATTATCCCAAGTTTCAAATTTTTCAAATGACCCATTCAAAAAATAAAAGCGGGGAACTTTAAGGAAAAGCACTATAGAATACAATACCTACGCAGTGTATCTTATTTATTTAAAATTTGTATCATTTTACCAATAGGCTCCCGATTTCAATTTCATTCATATTGATTTTTTGATACCTATTATATTGTGATATAGAGTTCAGTTTGTATTGTTTTTGATTTATTATGATTTTGTGTGATGTGTATGTCAAATGTCTTTCGATATAGATTTTTAAGATATTTAGTGTTTTGAGATTGTTTTGCTGTGGAATTTAGTTTGCTTTGACTTTGATTTATAATATAATTGCATTTTTTAGGATGTGATGTACATTTTTTTTGAGATTAAAATGAATAATATAATTCAGTTTGCATTGCCATTCATTGGTTATAATTTTGTATTTATTTTGCCATCTGCAATTTGCCATTTCTCTTTATACTTAATCAATAAACTACAACAAAATATGGGCCTCTAACAAAAGTATTGCTGGAAAAGTATTGCACCCTTGACGATCGGTTTTTTGATTTCACCTCTGACATATTTATTTATTTCCATTTCTTAACACTATACCAAAATATGAAGCTGGGAGAGTCTCTAATAAAAATATTGCTAGATCTGTACCGCCCCCGATGACCAGTTTTTTTATTTCACCTCTGCCATAGTTCTTTTATTTCCAGTTGTGACCACTATAACAAAATATGAAGGTGGCAGAGACTCTAATAAAAATATTGGTGGATTTGTACCGCCTCCGACGGCCGGTTTTTCATTTCGTCACTGCTATATTTCTTCGTTTCCTTTTGTTAAAGCTATAACAAAATATAAAGGTAGCAGGGTGTCCGATTGAAATGTTGACAGAGGTATACCGCTCCCTGCTCGGATTCTTCATTTAGTTTCCACTATTTTCTATAATTTCCGTCATTTCAAATATTCATGATGCCTTCAAAATACATTTNATGTGTCCCTAGCTGTGACGAAAAGTTCGTCATCAATAAATGACAATTCTGTCGATTCCATAATAAATAAACGAACAATATCTACAATATTTACAAGTAAATTTAGACCGTTACAAGTGTTTCTGTATTATATAGCCTATATAAGCGGTAAATAGAGTCTGAATTATGGAGCTTTTATGAATTTTGAATTTTACTGAATTCAATACTCTTCATGTGCTTAACAAAATTTCATCGTTCGTGGATTTGTATTATTATAATAAATGAAACTCTCCGCACTCATATTATGATTTAAGAAAAAGTCCAGTTGATAACGATGAAAGGATAAAAAAGATGAAGAAAAATCACACATTTCCAGAACCATGAATAAGTTGAATCTACTGAATTGCTGCTGTCGCTAGACAAATATTCACTATATCTCATTCCTGAAGTTTTGACTGAGAATAGTTGGAGAAGAGATAGATATGTTCATCGAATAGCAAACTGTAGCGAATCTATAATTAACTTCTTTCATTTTCAGTTATTGCAGTTGGAATGTATGCATATATTCGAAAATGTAACCGTTATTGATTTAATGACGTAAGAATATTTTTCTCTTGGCAACACTACAGCGTGTCATGTGTCGTCAGTAGTTGCTGGGCACCGTCGTTGGTTTTATTTTTAATTTAAAAATCATAAAATAATTATACTTACATATTCTTTTATTGAATAATTATTCGGGGCTCTATGGGTGTATAATATTTATGGATTATCAGAAGGAATTTCTACACATTTCTTTAGCATGTAAGTAGACCACCATTTGCAAATGTTTTTTCATTCCTTGTAGGTATTTCCTCCCTTCCTTCTTTATTGGCCGCTGCTTTCTATTCAGGCGCAGTTAGGGATGTGAGAATAGTGGAAAAGAATCGATTAAATATAAAACGATTATTCTTCATTCAATATTAATCGATTTGTCAAAAATCGATTTCAATAAAAATCAACATTCGATTTCTGCGAAAAAATCGATTTTTCTGTTATATAAAAATCTGCATGCTTTTCATATTCCAATAATGAAACTAAGAGATATTCATATTAACAGTTTATTAGATTGAAAATAAAATGAAATGATATGAATAAAGAAATAACTCAATTCAAAATTAAAAATCGAAGCGAATGTTTATTTTAACTTTTAAAGTAAGGAATGAAAAAACCAAACAATATTATTATTCATAGGAATTTACATTACCACTGAACGTTTTATTATAATAAGAATGAAATGATGAGCATCCAAACAAAAATATAATCTTATTGTCTCAAAAACTAAAATATAAAACAAATCTTTCGTTAACCTTTAACTTTTTAAACAATTAAAAATGGTAAAATAATTATTGTCACAAATGTCCAGTCCTATTTTACATTTGACTAGTATTAAAATAAAATACTTAAACAATAATTAAAAACAAAACGACTATGTTGTGTTTTCAAAAACCAAAATATAAAACATGTCTTTCAATAACCTTTAACTTTATAAATAATATAAAATTTCAAAATAATTATTGCCACAAATGTCCAGATCTATTTTACATTTGACTAGTATTAAAATACTTAAATGATAATTAAAAACAAAACGACTAAGTATGTTGTGTTTCCAGAAACCAAATATTTAAAACATGTCTTTCATTAATCTTCAACTTCATAAATAAAATATAAAATTTCAAAATAATTATTGTCCCCAATGTCCAGTTCTATTTTACATTTGACTAGTAATACAATAAAATACTTGAAACGATAATTGAAAAACCAATAACGTTGTGGTCTTAAAAACTGAAATGGGAAACAAATATTTCGTTATTTTTGAAATTTGAACAATCGAAAGACGAAAAAAAAATTATTTGCACGAATTTTCAGTCTTGTTTTACGTAAGAGTAGTATTAAAATAAAATAAAGCGATACGTGCAAAAGCTTAATGGCAACTTTAACGTATTGTCACAAAATGTTCAAAAATTTCACATTCGAGTACAATAATTATTACCATAGATTTTCAGGTAAGCAGTTTAAAAACAATAATTTTGATAATCTCTTTCCTAAAATACGGTGGTTTCGTGTTTTCCTGACCATATTTCCCGCTTTGGAAAATAATCTTTCGGGTGGTGTAGAAGTGGCCATCACAGAGACATGCTTTAGAGCCAAGTCGGTTAGCAGAGGAAAAGTCCCTTCAAAGCTCTTCCAGACACTGAGAGGATCTACCATAAGATCCGATAGCGGTGCCGCAACGTATGGATCCAATTCGGTATTTTTGACCATTGACGAGTTTGAAGCCAAGGCCAATATTTTTTCATGATGTACCTGCCAAATATCTTGTCCATCAACCATCACTTTTAATGAAACAGATGATTCAGAATCAGACGTTCCAGAATTATTATCATTTATATTACAGTTTAAACATTTTTTGGTATAATGTATTGTTTTTGATAAGGATAAAGGGTCATCATCTAAGTAGATTTTTTTGAATCTAGGATCCAAATATGTTGCAACTGAAAAAAGGTGCACTTTTTGGATGTTTTCCAATCTTTTATTATAATCCGATAGTAAGGATTGTTTCAGTTGTTTTGCCAAACCACTTGTTGGCGTAACTGTGTCTAACACAGTTCTCAAACATTTTATAATAGGTATAGCTTTGCTAGAAGTCAGGTATTTGTCTGCACTCATTTGTTCAGTGACGCTATAAAAAGGCTTTAAAATTTTTTCAATTTCTTTTAGCACGACAATTTCACTTGCTTGAAGCATTGGGGGCGCATTTGGGTGATTTATCAAAGCAGATCCTATAGTGGAGCTCATTAACACGAAACGTTCAATCATGAATAGTTGCGAGTTCCATCTAGTTGATACGTCTCCAATCAGATGTTTTAATTTTCCTTCGGCAACATTTTGAAGGGTTTGCGTTTGTCTCAATTCCTCAGCGCCAACACCACTCTGGTGGAACCAAGTTACAATTTTTCGTACTTTATCTAGGAAAAGTTTAACTTCTGGTACATTTACTGAATTGTCTACAACTAAATTTAGAGTATGAGCTAAGCACCGAACATGATTAGCTCGACCAAAGGTCATCTCAATGGCTTTAACGATGTTACTGCCATTGTTAGTAGTAATGCTTACAATTTTGTCGTGGGATAAACCCCAAACATCACAAATTTTATTAATCATTTCTGATAAATATTCTCCTGTATGACTCTCGTGAAGTGGTTCACATGCAATGTGAATTGACTTCATTTCAAAATTTTCTATGAAGTGTACTGTTACACCTAAAAAACTCCTCAACTGCAAATCTTTCCATTCATCGATTGTAAGGGAAACGTTTTTAACTAATCATAATTTTTTTATTGCAGGCGGAGCATTAGCCACTCCCTGATTCCCGTCTGTCAGATTTTGACAGCCGGGCCCAGAGACTGGCAATGTATTGCCCTGCAAATCTGCCTGGTTTAGGCCGAAGCACGAGATCAATTGGCAAATGATGCTAATGATCTCGGTCTTGTCGCTATGACACTTCCGCACTGTTCCGCTGTCTGTGCCCGAGGTATGCAAAATGTTCGATATTTATACGTTTGCGGCGCGCGCGCGTACGCTCCGCCCACCTGCTTTTTACTCTTTGTCTTGTTCTGATTAGTTAATTCATATACCTTATATTGGACGTTGGTAATACCCTCCAAAATATGTCAGGATGTCATCCATGTTGGGAATCGGGTATGTGTTTTTTTTGTTACACTGTTTACTTTTCTATAATCGACGCAGAAACGAATGGAATCATTCTTAATTCCGAACTAACACCACCGGACTAGCCCACGGAGAATGGCAAGGTCGAATTATATTGTGTTTTAGAATTTCAGAAATTTGCTCCTTTATTATTTCCCTTCCTTTTTGGCTTACCCTATAATGACGATATTTTATTGACGTTGCATCTCCTACGACTATCCGATGTTCAGTGATGTCAGTAGGATGTCATGTGCTTAGTGGATTTTGAAAATACATCCTGATATTCTTTTAGTAATTTCGTGAGCTGAGTTTTGGAGACACCTTCTTCTATATGGTCTAAACTGTATCTTTAATGGTTACCTCTTCATCGCATTCTGATGTATAGAGTAGGCTGTGTTCGATATTTCTTTATTTTCTTTGGTGATATTGGTGATATTTCAAGCAACGTACGAGAATGTAGGACTGGTTCGACAATGTTGGTTGTCCAATACAGATGAATCCAATTTTCAAAAAATACTTTTCATTAATTTTAAAATTGTATTGGTCTGTTGTGCTATACTCGATTTGAACTAGTAAATAGTAATCGATGCCTAGTAGAACAAAATCGTCTGTGAGTGTGAACTTTATTACATTTTCCATTTCCCTATCGTCGTGACAGTCATCCTGTATAGCAATTTTATTTTGAAGTGTTGAGGGGTTTATGAACTTCAATTTTTCCTATTCAGATAAATATGTGAGACCACAAAATTAAAAATAAAATACAGGGCGTCTTCTCATAAGGCGAACTGTTACACTTCTACGCTCTGTGGAATTGGTATCAGTGTTAATATTAGCAAAATTAACATCTATGTCTTTGATGTAATTATGTAAAATAGAAGTTGTTGAAATATATAGATCGATATTTTCCGGCAGTGCATTCATAGATCGAAAAAATTGTCTCCATTTGCAAGTGACCAAACGCATATTCAGAGACTCGCCTAGCACGGGAGAGCGGATAATTAAATATTCGTTTTTCAATATCTCCAGAGATGACTGTGCCAGGATGATATGGTCGTAATAAATAATGTTTCAAAGGAAATGCCTCATCTCCCACCAGTACATATGGTGCTAGTGTATTAGCATTTGGTAAAACTGTATCTGGTGGTATGTTCATATCATTTTTTGCTAAAGCTTTATCAAAATTTGAATTTGTCAATATTCCATCATCATTATTTTTTCCATATGATCCTACATCTATTGCTATAAACTTATAGGTGGCATCATCGACGGCTAACAAAACTATTGAAAAAGTCTGTTTATAACTACGAAATTGCGAGCCACTATTTGGTGGAGCAAAAATTGTTGAACGTTTCTCGTTCTTGGCACCTTGGGAAATTCCAGGAGGTCCAAAATTCTTCAGCTATTCTCTTTCAATCTTGGGTTGATGGTTTTGGCATAACCTCAGGCATCAACTCTTCAACTAGAGCAATGCCCACTTCCTATTCGAAAAATAAATGGAGGGTTCAGAATACAAGTGAACCAAGTCCACTTTAGCTACTTTTGAGCTACAGAGGTTTAAAGTTAACGCTTCATAACAAAATTACCTGTTACCATTTTTTTAAAGTATATATTAAATTTAAAAATATCAAGGATTAACTTAGATATTTAAATGCTTATTATGGCCAAATTTCATGTTATTACGCCAAAAATCACAAAATAGTGGACTTGGTTCAAATGTATTCTGAAGAATTTTAGGAAGATAATGAACCAACTCCTTGTGTTGTTAATACATTTTATTTTTACATTTTCTTAGAGGTCAAATTGTAAATATTAAAATAAAATATCACTTCTTAGTTATAGGAAAAGTTAATTGACATAAAAAAACTCATCATCACTGTCATTTCCTTCAGTTGCTTCGTCGTTCTGGGTTCGACGAGTTGCCTGATTCCCTGGAAGATTTCTGAAGTATCCATGGTGAATAGGGGGTATGTAAGGCAGTAGAGACAACATGTCCTCCTTTTTTTTAAAGCCATTTG